TACACATGATGGTCACGCCAAATCAGTGAAACTTCTCTGGTTCAATTTTGAAGGGACACACATTAGGACGTGGTGTCTTCATGGTACAGGCTAAAAAAAAAGTAAAGTTGTCCCTGTACTTAATTAAGCACTATGCCATGAAGACATGTGGGACAGCAGAGGTATAGCTCCACCATTCTTGACCTCAGCGCCAGCTTCACACCTTGGCCACTTCACCTCTGGGGAAAGAGCCCTCAGTACCTTTTGGATATGAGGTTGGGTTGGCCCCAGAGCCAGTCTGGATACTGTGGAGAAGAAATATATCTTGCCACTGACAGGAATCAAACCCTGGCCATCCAGCTTGTTACCCATCACTATATCAATGAGCTATCCCAACTCCCATGGTGTGTTTATGACCCTAATTTTTCTCTTAAGGAAGGAAATGAGGGTAAGAAGTCAAATGTTCATTAGAAAAATAGAAATGACAACTTCCAGCAAGTCAGATTACCAAACTGACAGAAGATCAGGACACCCAAATAACAGCACTCAGTCAGTTTATCCTCATATAACAATTCACAATGGCACTGGACTTCCTGCAAACCAAGTTTCTTCTGCTAATGGCTGATACGATTGTAGTAACAAATGAATAGGAAGTGATTTCTGATACATTTATGGTTAGCTCTTTGTTATAAATGTGCAGCATAATGCACTTCTCGCAAGCCAGTGGTCCAGCAAAATGTGTGCTGTCTGCATATAATGCATTATACAGATTGTGGTCTTCTAGCCTTCACACCATATGGTCTTGTAGGCAGATACTGACATTTCAGGAGACACACACTCCACTCCTTTCAGGACTGCAGTGTTAGAATGACAAATCAGTTGGGTTATATAGGAAGTTTGCTAGGGGAGTGACCACTTAGGCTCACATGGAAGGCGGACTGAACGGGCCACTGTCTGGAACAGAACAAATGAAAAGTAGAATAGCCATTCTAGGAGCCACAGTATTGTTTTCTATCACATGGGAAATGTAATGAGAACAGGCCCCAACACTGTTTTTCATCACAGAAGGTAAAATGGAACTGTTTTCACCATCCCTACTGGCCAGGAGAAGACTTCTTTGAAAATATCTTCCTTGCAACCTGACTACAGAATCCACCAAAGTCCTCACTCTACACACTTAAAGGTAGAGACAGCTGGTTTGTCTGAAATGCTACCATCTGCCTACATGATGTCACAACCACAATCCGAACAATCACCACACCAAAAACCTGAAAACTTATTAAATACTATACAAATGTGCAAGTGCACACAAATTTCCTTTCACCCTAGGAGGCGCCTACAAAGATCGGAAGCCTGAATAGAACACTTCTAGTGAGAAATTTGCTTATTTCTGCTATCAAATGGCCAAGGGAAACATCTACATATATGTCAAGCTCTGGAAAATATAAACTATTTTTTTTTTTGCTATTTCCAGTGTGTTGGAACAAGCATGAGGATTGGACACTCAAAAGGAATGAGAGATAAAGGTAGGAAAGGGATATGGAAAGGGGCAAGGAATAACAATAGGATGGGCAAATAAATGGGATAAGGCAATAAGAGAAATAGTACTGAAAGTGACAGAGATATGAAAGAGATGAAATAAGTGCATAAATTTTGCCACCATCTTTGATGGGTAAAGTGAAAGGAAGAAAATTCTAAGTGCATTCACGAAAGATTTAGGCACCATCACAGCCTGGCACCCAGAACCTGTGCAGGCCTGCAGCTGTATCAGACTGCAATACATGTTTATGAATTTATGTATTAAACTTCATCAATACATACAGCTCTCTTAAATGGGAATAATGTTAGTTCATGCAAATATTAGAAAAAGTCAATACTGAAATCATGTAAATGTATGGCTTAAAGTAAAGTGAATGGGAGTGAAAACTGATCTGTGGTTTACAACAACAGCAATGAATCACACATTTTTGAAAGATTTCCACCATTAGGTTATTCCAAACATACAAATCTTTGCTGCATTTAACATAGCCTGGTGAAAGTGTCTATAAGTGACCAATATTAAAAAACTAATTTCATTCTGAGCCATTTTATGTAGCAGTATTCATCTGTAAACTGAAAATCGTCAACCTTCCATACTTTTTATTCCTTGATGCAATGCAATTATGGAACAAAACAGGGAGAATATTCACTATGATGTTTCATCAACCTTCTTTTCAGAGGAAGCATTTAAAATTGATAAATGCATCAAGATCATTTTCAAAACAAATGAAGAAGTGAATATTACATAGGTCTAAAAAAGTGTCAATTTGTTCATTTCTATATATATAGCCCATAAAATATAACACTGGATCATACTTCTCACATCATAACTGCCCTACACCAATAAGCTGACCACAAACCATTTACATAATTTCTATTTTTGTGGGCAAGAGACATCTTCATTTTAAACTGGTGACAAAGTTGTCTGTGTGCTTAATTAACCATCCTGTCATCAGGATGTATATGGAAGTGAAGCTGTTTTTCCTTGCAATCTTGGCCTCTGCACTTAATTGTGGTGACAGGTAGCTTTACAACCTGGTCCCTTCATCACTGAGGAAGAAGTCTTTTGTACCACTAGAGAGGAGGCTAGGTGGACCCACAAGCTGGTCTGAGCACAGTACTTTTGACTAGAGTTGTTTTAATTTATTTAGAGAAAGTGCTTACAACCCCCTCAAGTTACATTATTCTGGGAAGAGTAAAACTGACAGTAATCACATGCAGAGCATGACAAATGAAAAGTTCATCAAAAGACGGCACAAATCTTTTAAAACACCTACAACTATTAAATCAAGTTCTTCATGAACAAAGGGCAACTATAAAATATAAACACATATTTTATGGATAAACAGATTATGTGAAGTAGCTAGCAGATGTAAGATGTATTTCAGAAGCACACTATTTCATTAACTGGTACTCGATATATACATGCAGTGCAGTCTTCGAATGCAACTTCAAATCACACCTTTGCCTTCATTTCCATGTAAATTCACAACAAGTTTCAGCCGCACAACGTATATCTGATGATTTTCATAAGTTACACTGCACTGTGCTGTAACACTCTAGTTTAAACACACAAAACAGAAAAACAAAAAATAGCACACCTGATACACTGCAGGTAACCAAGACACCATTGATGAACTACACACTGCTGCCATACAGAACATAGGCAGAAGAAAACTAAGAGACACAACATATCACTCTAAATTATTTTCAAATTATTTACTACAGTACAGTGTAATAACTTACACAAATCATCATTTATACTTGATGATGGCCCTGTGTGACAGAAACATGTTGTGAATTTGCATGGAATTGAATGCTAAGCTGTGATCTGACATCACATTTGAAGACTGCACTGCACTTGTTTTTGTTCACCATTAAACTGTTAAAAAGGGATGGGAAGAAGCCTTCTGAGTAAAACAGTAACATTTCACACAAAATGCAGTGTCATTCTGTACTACAGAGCTATAAATGTTTTGTCCCAACCTGAATTCTCAACAAGACTGATTATCACTACTAAAACAAATATTCTAAGAAAACACTAATACCCTTTATCTACAGAAATATCAATCATCACAACTATCCTAATGCACTCCTTACCATGTTGTTCAGTTAGGCACAGCCAAAATAAACCAGCAACTTTCATGTAAATGTCTCATTTTCAATAAGATAAGTGTCAATGGTATTATCCCTATGATATATATACAAAATCATCAAAATATCTCAACAGCTGGTAAGACATGGCAATAAACAAGGTGTTCCTTCAGAAATCTGTTGGCAGAAATACTGAATGCATGTCCGTGTCATTCTAGTGATTATGGGGCCAGGGATACATAGTAGGAAACATTGTCCTGGTATCTTCAGAATCCAGCAGAAATGTGTTAAGAATCTGAACTTCAGTATGTAAAAATAAATAATACTGTACGTCTACCATCCACTTCAGTTCTGAGCCTAATGCAGTAAAGTCTTCTCACTCATGTTAGCCAAAACAAACATCATGCTGCCATTTTTTTTACAGTGTATAAACAATTCCGATTCATAACATACTTTGCAAGCAGGATAAATTTTATGTTGTAAGTACTCATTAGAAAAAACTGCTTTTTCATAGGCAACAAAAACGTCAAAAGTGACAACCATCTGTCATTTTGAGTAGAACTATTCTTGTGCGCATGACAAAAACATCAAAATGGATTCTGTGCAGTGTCAATTTCTATATGCAGCACATCACCAAAATAAACATTCAAAAGGAATATACCAGCACAGAGCTAAAGTTGTGGAAACAAATCTTTGTAATGAGATTCTTCTTGTTTTAAATATACCCTTGATATAAATATCTACGTCACAAACACCACGAGGCTAAGTTACTGATTATAAGAGCAAGTTTTCCAACATTAAGCTCATGTCAACTACAGCATGCTTTGAAGCTTATATGAATGCAGGATAAATTACAACAGAGTTCAACATGCTTATTTGTACTTATTAATTACAAAAAATGCTTTCTGCTCCTCATCACTTCCACAACATACCACTTTCATTGAAAAACACACAAATTTCTTTCACAAACTGACCTGTCATGTCAAGTTACGTCAATATTATTTCACCTTCAATAATCTTTGTGAATATTTCGAACTATGTGCCAGTTCTAAAGCCCACATTTTATGCTCTGGTAGTAATCAAAATCGCATGACTGCTACCCTCCTTAATTATTTTACATGAAATGTTTTTGACATGACTAGTACACTGCCTCATTATAAAAAGTCTCTTCGTTCGTCACTGTTCGAACGATTTCATCTCTTGATGAAGGAATATTATACCTTGGGCTTAGACGATCAACCCGTTGAGGTCTGCAAACAATACAAATCGACGAATATGCTTATTTCTGTAAAGCATAAGAAGCAGAAAGCATCAGCAGCCATGTTGAACCCGTATTAGGCCTAATCGACGTCACTGCTACTGAAGCTCTGCTGAGTAACTCCACTTACTACTTATTTTCATGCCTCCTAACGGAGGATTCGGAGGTTGCTTGTTACCCTCAGCAAAGGACGTTGTCCTTGGACGTCCACTCATCTCTATCGGCGCTCAATTATTTCATATACGTTCATGAACTTCATAGATTTATCACATTTCTTGCGAACACCCTTGCACACGAAACATCAAACGGGGGCTGGCAGCCACTGTAGATCCTTCCTATTATCCTTCTTTCACTCGTTTAACACTCATGTGAACGCACGAGACCGTCGTTATTTAACAATATCGTACCTAAGAACTTTCTAAGGGTTTCTATCAACCCTTTTTTCCAAATTATTGGTATTTTACATTATATGAAAGCTACGACAATCTTCATCACACTCACAAAATTTTAGCTGCTTCAGACATTGACCTGTTCGGCCAACATCGTAACCAATCACATGAAGCTCCCTAAACCCGAAATGATCCGAAAATGACGTCACATAGCAACCTCTTACGTCAACTAACATGGCGGATTTCCCATGATGCGTCCTGCAAACAATTGAAGTTCGTCTCCCGCGCAAAACCATTGCCTGCTAAAGTCCTGTCAAAATCGAAGTTTGCCATGACATAATCACAGAGAAGGTATACATGTATCCGCTGTAGTTTCACCGCTGACCCCCAGATGGTACACATTTCTAGCTATTGCAGGCTGTTGTCACAATGAAGAAAGCAGTCTTCTGGGATTTGGCACCGTGTATATGTGGTGTTAACCGACGTTTCGGAGGAACGTATCGCCCCCATCTTCAGGGTAGAAGAAAAAGTATAAGAATTCTGCAAGCGACAACACAGTGAGAAACGGTAAAGCTTCTCACGGTGTTGTCGCTTGCAGAATTCTTATACTTTTTCTTCTACCCTGAAGATGGGGGCGATACGTTCCTCCGAAACGTCGGTTAACACCACATATACACGGTGCCAAATCCCAGAAGACTGCTTTCTTCATAGTCACCGCCGTGAAAGCCTCAAATCTTGCTTTGTATCTTGTCTGATGTGCTGTAGAGCCTGTAAAGGGTCATGTCAACTGAAACACTCTAGCAGTACGTTGTACTGTATGACCATGTCCTGCGGCATTTCTGCAGTGGCTTGTGTGAGTTCAGCACATCAACACGAGAGAATAACATTGCGTCGGTTGGTTTTTCTGCTGTTCAGAGAAAGAAGCCCTCCGCTCTCAGCAGCTCTCATGAAGGGCTTTTCTTGAGGGGGTTGATTAGCCTGTCCGTCAAGAAGAAAAAATGTCTGACAGGTAAAGGAAGATAACCAGGAAGAAGAAGAATTTCCTCCACGAAATTAAGGGCTGGGCTGGAACCCGATTGCGGGTCCGTCTGGGACCGGCTGTGGGGAGCTCAGCTATTTCTCTCTTCGAATCACAGAGGGCTTCTGACGAATCGCAATGCCAGCAGCCCAAGAGAGAGAGAAAAAAACATTATTGGATTACTGGGATTTTGGACTTTCTACATCGTCCGTTACTCTAAAGAATACAACGCTTCGTAAACGGGATCTGTTTTCGTTCTCAGGTGTCTTCCAGCCGCTTTCCTGAAGACGGAAACAGATCCAGTTTCCGAAACATTGTGTTCTTTAGAACACCGGACGGTATGTAAAATCCAAAACTCAACAATCCCGAGGAACTACACAATTCTGTGACCACTTTCTTGTCTATGTTTATAATTTCTACTTGGACACATTCAGTTTACGTTAATACTCTTCGTAGGGAATCTGATATTCACACTTTCGCCAACATAATGACTCATTTTCATATAAAATTTCACATGTAATATAATCATATATGAGGTGGTATCGGAAAGTTCCCGGATTGTTGTTGTTGTAATTACGTCGGTGAAAGAGGATAAGAGGTGAGATCTAGTTCACACTTCCGCAAGCCAATTGCAACAGTCTGCCACGTGATGCCGTGCTATGAACACGCACTGTTTTCACACGAGTTCTTTTCCGACTTCGTGTCTGTGTGTCTGCGATGGACGGAAAAATCAAGCAACGTGTCTGCACCAAGTTTCGCGTGAAGCTCGGTACGCTACCGAAACCTCTGAAATGCTTGGTGAGGCTTTTGGAGAACATTCTTTAAGCCAGACAGCGGTTTTTGAATGGCATTCACGTTTCAGGGCCGGTTGAGTGTCAGTTGAAGGTGACTAACGTTCAGGGCGACTAAGCACCAGAAAACGACAGAAAATGTTGAAAAGATCGAGAACTCATCCACGAAGATCGTCGACGAACAATCCATGAGCTCGCAGACATCATTGAGATCAGTTATGGAGTTTACCAGGAGATCTTAACAGAAAATTTGCATATGCGTCGCATTGCTCCTTCATCACGAAAACGCGCCCGCCCACATGTCACTTAAAACCACAGAGATTGTGACTAACAGCAACATGGTTATAGTTCCCCCCCCCCCTACTCACCGGACTTGGTCCCCTGTGATTTCGCTTCGTTTCCCAAAATGAAAATGAAACTGAAGGGACGACTTTTTTTAAACAGTGTCTGGCATCCAAAGGGAATCCAAGCGGCACTCGACAGCATTAGGGAAAATAGCTTCCACGGTGCTTTTCCATCGTGGAAAAAAAACGACGGGATCTCTGTATACGCTCTCAAGGAGACTATTTTGAGGATGTTAGCCCAAATTAAGTTAAGCGAACATTTCTTTTTTGACATAGTCCGGGAAGTTTCCAATACCCCGATACATATAAGCACATACAATCACTGAATCGGTAGCCCTTTCTAAAGGGTCTAACAGAATAGACGTCTCCAGCCTCCTTACCGGAGGACAGTAACAGATTCAGTTTTCGAAACATTGTGTTTTTTGAATACCGGACGATGGGCAAAACCCAAAACCCCAGTAATTCCAAGTGTTATATACTGTGGCATATTTGCTCCAAGTAAGAACTGTGGAACCAGAGAAATAGCCATTGCTAGCGAACAGCTCTGAAACAACATTCGTTTCTAAGCAATGGCCACGAAACAAACAGCGGACCAACGTCCGTTGCTCGGCATCAGTTTTTCGATACTCGACAACTGAACCGTAGCGCCTGAACAAGCAACAGGAAAACGGTGTATACTTTGCGGTTCATGCCGAGATGTTATAGCCGGGACAGTTTGAAGTAACCAGTCAGTTGGAAGGGAGCCGTCGTTCGGAGAGGGCTTGAGCACGAAATTAGAGGAATAGACTTTGTTAGAAGTCGTTACCAAGCAACTTGGCAGGAAACGAATCTGCGACCATCGGCTTTGCATGGAAACAACCGATGGATATTGAGAGGGCCCCAGTCAGGAGGTTTTGGGCTCCAGGTCGATCCATTCTGCACCCGCGCAATGCACACTGAGCAATGGGCCCAGCAGATGCCTGATGCTTGGGAAAGCTGGAAGCTCTACTCCCTCCCCCTCAACCCTTTACAACCTAGAGCGCCACCATCTTCATGTTAAGCATTATCATACTTGAGCTGAAATCACGTTTACAATGCATTTGTGTAATGTCGGCGCCACTAAAAGCCTTCGACAATTAGGGATGGAAATGGATGTAGACGAGTGTAGAAGCCTTCTACTTACGTGTATAATTAGTCACAGCGCTAAATTTTGAGGAAGCTATTTTCAGTCAAGTTTATTATCGTAAGATATCACAGTAACCGTTCTCAGTAGCAGTAAATGTAGGAGCAAATTTACAATTTTTTTTAACATGTGTCGAACATTCCCTGGGGTTCTCCGTCGATAAAGCGAATGCATCTACTACTTAATCGGAGCGTCTACCATGTTTTAAAGTATGAGAATAAAGAAATTTTAAAATCCTTACGTTTTTCTTACCGGTGCCAAACCATTCTGTGATTTTAACACTGCTGATACTATTAATACTGTGACGTAGTACAAGTATATATGATTATAGACGGAGTTTGGATTGGTGAATTGACAATTAATGATCGCAACTACAGATAACTATAACACTATCGCTATTCACACAAACTTTACAGTTAACTAGAGCACACAGTCTGGTGTTATCAGTCTATTACTAGACGTTTCCTGGTAACGGCTCCAACAATCATTATTACTCTGTCTCCGTCTCAAGTACAGAACTGACTAAACTCAAAGTTAAGGTCAAAGTTACTTTACCACTGGCGGTTTACCTCCAATAAGTTCGTCTTGGCGTTAGGCCCTTGAGTCAACGATCAGAGATTTTTCCCAGCTGAACTCTTGCGGTAATAGTCATTGTCATAGTCATCTCCTCCATTGTTGTAGTATAACTGTTGTATTATTAGGAATCTACCGCCTTACAATGGACGCTGTTCCGTTGTTTATTTCGCGGGAATATGTTTACCGATCCGTTTCCCTGAAACGGTCTGGTATAGGCACCCATTTAGAGGTCGTTACATAGCAACGGCTCTAAATGCTACAATAACTTACTTACTTACTTACTTACTTATGGAGCTCAGCCTTTCTTGAGGAGCCGCGAAATCTGCAGCTACTCAAGAATTTCCCAGCATTTTATGGAACACGAAGGTTCATTGCCGTGTTCACAAGAGCCCTCCAATGGTCCCTATCCTGAGCCAGATCAATCCAATCTGTACTATTCCATTCTATCTCTCTAAGATCCATTTTAATATTGTCAATCCACCTGCTTTTTGGTTTTCCCAGTGGTCTCTTTCCATGTGGATGTCCCACCAATGTCCTATATAATTTCTCTTCTCCTCATTCGTGCTACATGTCCTGCCCACTTCATCGTTCTAATTATACTTGGAGAAGAGTACAAGTTATGAAGCAAATGCTACAATAACATTGATTATATTTAAAGATTTCATGTAAATGTTTTAGGGGCTAAATTTTCAGTCCTCCCGAACTCCAAATGCATTGTTACAAATGCTGTGTTATATGTTGGCCAATTTTGGAGGTAAGTATATCATATTATACCAAAATATTTAATCTCCAAAATGATCTATTTGTATGTAATGCAATTTACTACAAATTATATCCAATTGTTTTATTAAATTTTCAGAATTGAATTGTTTCTATTATTGCTGGGCAAATAGTCCCTAAATGGGCAAACATTTCCCACTGGTTGAATAAGCAGATCCCAAGTTGTATCTGTATTAATACACACATGCGCAGAGAAGACGAAATGTGAGAAACAGTTGACCGAAGTTCAAGAAGAAATTTGCATTGTATATCTCACCACTTGCTGCCTAGAAAACTCCTAAAGCATCACTATGACAGTTTCTTACGAAAATATTCTCAAGTTATCAAGCTTCGATCCCCAAGAACCAATTGTTTATATGTAAATTATTTGACCTACGTAAACTCCGCTCTCACAGTGGAGATGTCGCAAGCAGTCACTTCCAGTCAGCAATTTGAGATTCTGATCTAGACTTCATGTAAGAAACCGCCATTATATGTATATAAATCTACTATAAACGGCAGAAGCCGATCACAGTGTCCGCGCGGTCTAAGGCATGAACCGTCTTCGTCCGCCCAAACACTGGGAGCATCGGTTCGAATCCCCCTCAAGGCATGGATGTGTGTGTGCGTTTATTCTATGTTTGTGTTGTTCTGTGACTAGGCAGCGGCCTTAGCTCCCTAGTCTAAGGGGGTCCTACAGACTGTGTATAGATTAAGAAACTGAAAAAGCGGCCAAGATATACAAGGGCTGTAGAGACACAGATAGATAGATAGATAGATAGATAGATAGATAGATAGATAGATAGATAGATAGAGAGAGAGAGAGAGAAAGGGGAACGCCGTAGCATAGTTGATTGAGGCATTATGCTACAAGACAGAAGGTCTCGTATTCGATTTCCCATGAGGTCATTGGAATTTCCAATGGACTTAATCCTTCCAGACGCACTATAGCCCTGGGTTCGACTCAGCCTCTAACAGAAATGAGTACCAGGAATCTTCCTAGGGGTAAAGGGTGGCTGGAACGTAAGGATGGCAACCTCATGGCCGTCTGTGAGTGTTGTCAAAATATGTGGGAGCCTTGACATCTCACAGTCCTATGGACCTCCACGGCCTGTTGCAGGGATAGCTTTACCTTTTTTACACCAAAATAAGCAAGCATAACGATTGGAATCAGAAACAAAGGAAATGCGTTTTCTGTGCGGTTCACTCCGAGATGTTAAGAGCAGAACTTTGAAGCAATGAGTTGGTTGTGAGATAGTCGCCAGGTGGCAAGGATGTGACATTGTTCAGATCTGTAACCAGGCAACGACTTGTGAACACATACCAAACTGAGAAGGGTTTATGTGTGCTGTGGTTACAGTAATCTATGGAGTGCTTAACTCAGTGAGAATGTCGTGGTTGTCTGTAGCAATGTTCTGTAAGTGGCCAATAAATTTCTATTACCAATCTAAACCCCTTATATACACTCATATACGTGACAATATGTTCTGTGACGTTTAATGTTCAAGATAAAAGTCACCTTCTAATGGTGTGAAGTATCAAATTGTCAAAGGATGGGCGCCTCGTAGTTCCAATAGGCGTTCCGTACCGCCTCTGTCCATTTCAAGACAGATGGAAATGACCCTCATGGAGTTCTCTCGAACACGCATAAACAAGTTGACATCTACTGTTTTCACAGATGCTTGAAGTCTTGTAACATGCTTCTTCATTGTCCTCGTAGATATTTTAGGAACGTGCTCCTTCAGGTGTTATACACAGAATATCCTTGAGAAGTAAGTCAGGTGACCAATGGGGCCGTACATTCGGTTCTCGACATCCAGTCAATTTTCCTGGGTATGACGCGTTCTTCCACTGTCGGGAATCTACCTCACACTGCACTGGAGTTCCATCGTGCTGAAACCACAAACTCTTCCTCACAGTTAGGGGCAAATCTTCGAGCAGCCCAGGTAGAACAGTTTCAAGAAAATCACGAGATCGTTGAGCAATCAGGCTTTAACCCTTTAAAGACTAAGGCCCCCCATACACACACAGTTTGGCCTCCAGTTCGGCCTGCATAGTTGAAGACTGAAAGGCAAAACTGACATGTGTGGTGCGGTCGGCCGGTCAATCGTTTGGATTGCTGGCCTGTGGGAAACCGGTCAGTCTGTCAGTTCTGCCTCCTGACCGTAGCACGTGAAGTGTGTGACTCAACATTATAGGCTGGAAGACCGTGATTGTGACATGAAGCCTGCCGCTTTATCTGCACGTATATGGGGAGGAAAGGGAGGGGGTAAACTGCCAAAGTTTTGCCTGTATGGTCGATCAGAAGGGCAAACTGTGTGTGTATGGGGCCTTAAGAGTAAGAGTCAAGAGTCAGAGTCGGATTTACTTTACGACAGGGATTTTACTAGAGGATGGATCTATCATTTAGGATTGCTGCTGTGCCTCGCCAGCGTAGACATTCTAAGTTCCGATTCCCTCAGGAATCATTACCATATTTTACTGTCTCAGATTTGAGACTCTCCAAATTGGAGGGCCAGGTCTCTGTACTTATATCTCCCAGGAACAGGTTGGCCCAGTTATACCCCCAGTTACTGAATTCCCTTTTCGTCGTCTCCTATGACTCGCAGGGCTACAGCGGAGATATTCGACCCCACCTTCACACGGGAGACAAGTGAATGTGTTTGTCTCTAAATAATACTTGTATATACAAATTCAGTTTGCACCTAATATGGAACATGCTACATCTTCGCCAACAAAATAACCGGTTAATGGTGTTTACAGGAAAAAAATCGCTGTTTATTGTGGGCAGAATACATGATTCTAGCATGTTAAAGCAGGTGGAATGAGTAGCTAGTGAGTTAAGGTAACAAGCAGAAGCCTGTGAGAGTATCCCTGAGGATTATAGCTTCAACGCTGACCTGATAGCGGAGAGCACCAGGATTATATCGGTGTCCAGGTGTGACTAACGTGAACACTGAGCACACCCTCATGCCTAAACGTGCTTCATCTATCCAAAGAATATTATGTAAAGAGAGCACATCTGCAGTTTACTTATGTCGTAGTAGTGTAGTCGTTCAGCATAATTTGGTGGACTATTTTGTATTAATTAAGTTGAAATTAAGTTAATATCACATAAATACAAAGAGATCTGGCAGATAACCAACTTTTACACGCAGAAGTGATATAGTTCAAGTTTTGCTATATGGACAGGAAGTAACATCTGGTACATTTCCTGGAATTCTGGCAGTTTCAGCAAAGTCGGAAAGTCTTTGAGAATTTGAGAGCTGACAGCTTGGAACAGTTATAACTTAGAAGTGGGAGGGCCAGAGCCTCATTCCCTGATCGTAATGCATCAAGTCACTGTCAACCTTAGCGTCAGGTCAGCAACTGCCAGAATCACATAGCAAAGCAACATGATTGGAAATTCACAAATTCATGGAACCTCCTAGTTTGAAAACTAAACCATTGGCACGGGTTGGAGGAGTGGATTTTCTCTTGCAGTCTGTGGTTTGTGGACCTCAGGATTCAGAGAGAGTGCATTCCACCTCAAGTAGGCTTAATTCAACTTCAATTCAAGTCAGACACAAAATTACAACTACGTCCCTTCAGTAAAAGTATTACAAGTTAAATACAATTAAGTGTAACCATTAGAGTTTCCGTTGTATTCAGTGAGCTGAAGTGAATTAAATAATTACTAAGTGCAAAATTGTGAAGTGGTGTATGTGACTGTAGGGTAAGAATCTTCCTTACTTGCCCGAGCCAGACTCGTAAGACCCTGGGATAAGAACTCATCTCTACCCAATACAGAGCACAACTCCAGATACTCCCATCTTTCCCTACTTGTGAGACACCTAATGGTAGTACAGGAAACGAACTCTTGCCTACCAGCACCAACAACCACAATTCTGCTCCCTTCCCACTTAACTTCTCGCCATCCACGAAAAGTGGGAGGAGGGCAGTAACTCCAGTGGAGGTGTCCAGACATAAGGTGCAGGTGAACCACAGCACCGGAAGGAAGGGGTACAGGTAAAGAACTAATAAGTGACGAAAATTCGGGCAAAAGGCAATCACAAATGGTGCCGAGCGTGGGGGCAACACACAACAACAAAGTGAGCAGTCACAGTAGCCAACTGCAAAATTGCGTCCGTAGAGGACGAATATATGCAAACAGATATAGGTTTTGCAAGTAGTTGTAAGGATGCAACTGATTCTCACGAAGGACTTGAGGACCCTCCGTTGCGATATCACGTTGACTTCTCCACGGATCTCCTTTGACAGCTGTAGTTACAACATTTTCATTGGCTGGTGTCTGTGGAGTCTGTGGGCGTCCTGCGTTGATGTGTCCTGTATCAGTTACACTTTCTGTTCCAGACGTCGAAACACATTAGCGTCTGAATGATGTAGCATGTACTTTCTTGCAGTAGTACCAGTTTGACTATTACAGGTACCGAAAGGCGGCGGCATATCTCAAGCTGTTAGTCACTGGCTTCCCACCGCGGCAGCCCGGGTTCAATCCCGGGTCTGGTCAAGTGGGATTTGTGGTGAACAAAGTAGCACTGGGGCAGGTTTTCTCCAAGTACTTTGGGTTCCTTTGCCAATCTTCATTCCACCAAACTCTCCATCATCATAATCACCCGAGGCATGTACAATAGGCCAATCAGTGGCTGCCGTGCCTAGAGAAATTCATAAAATCTTTAGAAAAAACACCAGAAGATAAGAGGTGCTTGGAAGACATAAGCTTGTATGGGAATAGAAACCCTATTATTAAATTGCATCTAAAATAAATGGGTTTTGAGGGTGTGGGCTAGTTAACATGTTTCAGGATAGAGAGCAATGGTGAGATACTTGTGAACGTACTAAGAGCCTTTGAGTTTCATGAAAGGTGGACAATTGCTTTACTATCTAAGTAACTATTGGCTTCTCAAAAATAACTCTGCTCCATTGAGTTAGTGAAGTTATTGTTATGACTTTGAGGGAATACATATAATTACTGAAACAATTCTGTGGCATATGTGATATCTGTTTCTATACTTTTATTTTTGCATGTTGCTGATAAGAATGATAATGACAGCTTTTCCAGGAGGGAGAGTTAAATCAACTTTTAATGTCCAGTAATTACAAATTGTTTGAGGAATAATTTTTCAGTTATGAATCTTGATTATAGCATGAGCCTCTTCAGACTGGGAATTGATGAAAGTATCTTGCTACAGCCCTGCTTCCTTCTCTTGACAATGTGCTGATGTACCCTCTTCATCTCAAGTGTGGGGACATCCCACATAGCAAGCTGTCTCCACCGGTCTTTTAGACAACACTCACGCCTTTGTGAATATCGCACTGCCGGACGTCTCATTCATATTTATACCACCACGAACTGCAATTTTCTGCTCCTCATTTTTTCTAGCCAATCAGCGCTCTGCAAATTGTTGCTCCTCAATTTCAAGTTTCGCTCGGCCCACCGAGCATTGTACAAAAGGCGGAGCACAACGCTAGCAAGTCAGTCAGTCTTCAGTCAGTTCCAGTCAGTTCCAGTCAGTTCTCAAGCTCTCTACAAGCAATCAGCACACTTCGTTGCCAGCGCTCGGTCTACGGAGGCATCGGCGCTTCGCTGCGCCAGGCATGACTGCCACGGCTATCCGGCGGTCGCACCCGACTCACTGGGTAACTAGGCCGCCTTGATTCACCGGTAGTCATACCCGACACACTGGGCAACTGGTGTAGCTACCGCCTCTCTGCTTCAGTGACTGCGCTCAATGACCAGACTTTCACCAGCAGCTGCTGCACTGCGATCAAGCAACCTCCACCATCAGCTGCGCTACCTCACCGGTCAAGCATCTCAGCAACCAACGGTCCTTTTCAGGACCTACAAAACTGTTCTGAAGAAGCGGGTTGTCATTGAAGTAACGACACAGACAAAAATCCCACACAAGGATCTCCTTCATTTCTTCCTTGTCTTCCTCCTGCAATAAATCACAATGATGATAACTCACCACCTCATCACTGTAGAACTTCACTGTTGTTTAATAATTCTTATTAGTAGTTACTAACACCTGTAATACACCTGGTAATTTGAAGCTTTAATATGAATTCGGTGGCACTCACCGACTAATTGAGTCTCAGCACAAGGGCTCGGCGCCCATCAGACAATGGCTGGGAGTAATCCATGAGCTTCTTGAGTCTCTGTGCTGGACTGACACCTTGCTCTACAACCAGCACAATGTGGGCCCACTGTAACAAACAACTACCTTACAATTGTGCTTGGTTGCGTGGAAGCATGTTGACGTGTTCTTGACATCAATAAAAGACAGGGCTGAGTGTTCAGCTGTAACCTTCACTTAACACAAATATTATGTTTTCAGACATTATCCATCATCTTGTCTTTATCTAAAAACCGTCATGCTTATTTTTCAAAACATGTTTCGGAGACTAGAGTCTGTCTTCATCTTCAGGTAAAACCTAGGCTTTTAGATAAAGACAAGACAATGGATAATGTCCAGATACATAATATCTGTATTAATGTACCATCATCACAAACTTTTAGATCTTACTGTAACCTTCATCCTCCCATTCTGATCAGCTAGACAGGGCATGAACTGAACTGCAGTCTTGCAGTAATTAGCAGTCACTACTAACTGGGCTGCCCTTCATCATTTTTATTTCAATGTGGTAACAAATATTTCAGCCTAAAGAAATATAGGTATAATTCTATGCATTGGGACAGACAACAGTTGCACGTTTTGCTGACAGCACTTGTTCCAGTACAGTGTGATTTGCAGGCCAAAAGACAAGTTACCTGTCTCTGCCACTCATTGCGGGTTTCAGCAATCTTCTGATATGTGGTGCCCATCATAGCTATCAACATGTTCACCAGCAAGATGGCCACAATGCCCATGTAAACCACAAAAAGGAGCTGAAACACAGGATATGATGAAAGGTTAAGAAAGTTATATATCTCCATCTACCATTAAACAGAGGCATCTTGGGAAATGGTTGGTAATAATGTGATCATATCCCAGAAGACAGTAATCTTAGTAGTCAACACTGTGAGAGTCACAGATCTGAAGCACATATCTTTTTTACCTTTGTAATTTATGTGGCAGGTATGTGAGGGACATGAAAAATATCAACAAAATATTAATCTGATAACCTGAGAGAAACATAACTTTTGGAGGACTTGGCTTTCTGAAAGATTACTCTTACTAATCTGAACTTCTGTTACATTACTTTAACTCTGTAGACAGTAGCAGAAACTATGTGCGCCATGTCCTTTAACATTAAATAGCACTAAATTTAACCCTCAATATACTTATATTGTTATGTGACTGAGTGACTATAGATGGGGTTTGGATTGGTAATCAGATTTACTAAACTCTTATACAACTCGTAACTACACTTTATAAATCACTATCACATTAGTCTTCTCAGTCACAGTCTCATTGCTCTGCTTCACAGTAGCTTCCCAACAGTGTAGCATCCTAGGCTACCATATCCAATGGTTCCTGTCCTTGCTGCAGCTGAACTAACTGGCTTCCAAATGCCAGACTAACTCAGAAGTCAAAGTCAAAGTTATGCTAGGTCTATGGTCAGTTGGCCAGTCTGTCTTGGTGTCAAGCACCCATCTGGAACCCAAGATCAGATTTCTATTACTGTCAGACAGTTGGGGGTTTGTTGATGTGGGGCACCCTCTCTGACAAGAAGTCGGGTCTGTCATTTACAACTGATGTTGGCCCTTGCCAGCGCAGTTATTCTTGGATCCAAGTCTCATGCAACTCATGACAATTCTCTTTTTTTTCACCTCCTACGACTCTCAGGGCTATGTTAGAAGTATTTGGACTTGCCTCCATCAGGGGTTGCCCCTAACTCACAAAGTTAAAGTCAAAGTTACGTTACGATTGACAGTCAGTTGGCCAGCCTGTCTTGAAATAAAGCACCTACCTATCACCACAGACTGCTTAGAGAACACTGCTCTCCAGTATGCCACAGTATGTTTCATTTGATTCTTAGAACACAGACAGCATGGAGATCATTTAATACTTTCATTATTTCGAAATACGAAAATTAGGTAAAGTTGTCCCTGTGGTTAACTAACTAAGCACTACTCCATGAAAGCGTATGGAGGGAGTGGATGTATAGATCCATATTTTCTTGACCTTGGCATTAGTTGGAGGTCAGTGGTCAGCTTCCCACCCAGGCCACTTTATCCCCAGTGAAGGAGTCCACGGCACCCTTTGGATAAGAGGTTTGGTGTACCTCAGAGCCGGTCTGAACGACATGGAGAAGTGAAAATTCTTGACCTTTTCCGTGACTCGAACTCCGACCCCTTGGTCGTCCAGCCCATAGCCAGTCGCTATAACAACCATACTTTAGGCTGACAGGAAACAAAGATTGTTTTCCTGAATATTACTGACAAACCAATCACTGTAAAGCAGATGCTTCCCCTTCAAATATGCATTTATCCAACTGCTCAACTTAATCATCTTGTCAATGATGCTACGTACTCTTGATACTAACAGCCTCATTAAGTAACCACCTTGAAATGGACATAAATGCAAGAAGATTTTTAGAAAAGCTTCCTCTCTGAGGTGTTAAATGAGAATAAATAACATGCAAGCTTCATTGTAGGTTCAGTAAAATATTATGGCTAATTGAACATAAGCATCTGAACTAACCTTCACTTCAAATTCGTGTTCTGTCTACTCAAAGGCGCCATAGTAGTCACCAAAGCTTGTCACTGACATGAGGCACATGGCCAGCACAGATTCTGTTGGATGGACACAGGGTTGGACACCGAATCATCCACTCCCTCTGGCGTGTTTGGGTTGTCAAATGACAGGAAGATAATGTAGTACGCTTTGCAAATTGAAACATAAATAAAAATAATTTAAAATGTTTTCATTTCTTCAACTTCACTGTTGCTTTAATTTTTGACACTCAAATACAAATGTCGTTTAGAACTTAGAATATACATGGCCCAAGAGTTCAACTAACCCCAATATCTTGAATGTGATGCTGTTTATTTTTCAATACATAAAAATTGATTGCACAGCCTTCAGCAAACATCATGTTAAAATAAGATAACACAAATTTATTAGAAATAACGTTTCTACAAATATAGGTACATAAAAAAATAGAAAATACCCGAAGGTACTTTACATTTTATAATTACAAATAATTCAAAAGCAAATTACAATTACCTTTAATAATTACAAATAATTCTACTGCTTAGGCCTGGATCACACTATGAAAACTGGCAACCTAAATGCAAAAGCGATTTCCGCTCTTTTCAGAGATTTTCCCTTCTTAAGGTCCTCGCCCACTAGCACAGTGTCGTATGCGCGCAGTGCAGAGCGAAGGCTGCAGACGCATTGCTCTCCGTGTATTTAATGGACGTGCACCCACTAGAGTAGTGTCGTGCCAGTATAGTACAGTATGGTATAGTGTAGAGTTGTCTCGGTTGCTCGAAGAGGCAAACATTCTGCACGGCAGTGTCATGGCGGCACGCCGCATCCCCCTCCACACATACCAAAACGCATTGTCATTCCTGGGTTCCTGGGTTGAGTGTCAATGAGGCAAGACATGGCGTTCGAGGAAAGATTAATCTCCACTGTACAAGAGTACAATATCCTCTATGACCGCAGTCATGCCTACTATTATGACAGCATGAGAAGAGAAAACGCTTGGATGGAGATTGGCGAAACGCTGAACGAATCAGGTAGACTAATAATTAATATGCAATACATGAATGAAAACAAATTGCATATATAATGTTTAACCCACGGTCTACAGTAGGCTTCCCATGCACGTGAGCCCTGGTAGCGTAGTAGGTATAGCGACTGCCTACGGGCTGGCCGACCGAGGGGTCAGAGTTCGAGTCCCGGTAGGGTCAAGAAAATGTGGATCTATACATCCACTCCCCCATAAGCTTTTAATGGCGTCGTGCATTCATTCGTTGAGCACAGGGACAACAGTACCTGTACCTTCCATGTACAAACAGTATAGTTAGGTACAACTTTGCTACTACTACTACTACTACTCTTGGGGTTATGGCCTCTCTAAAATTCGTGTTCTTCTTCTCTATGCGTGGCTCTATTGCTAATAATAGCTCACAAAATTTGGCATAGCTCATGCGAAAGTAGATAAAAAAACTTCTTATCCTCTTCAGTTAGGTCGTGAAATATCATGTGGAACTCTCCGAATTCGTTTCTTTTCTTGTTAATATCGTGCACCCATATTCGCTTTGGCTGATCCTCTTGTAGCATCATAGCTACACAAATCGTTTCTTCCGAAGACAAGTCGGTCATTGCAATATTCTGTACAACATGGAGCGCAAGACTGCACAAAAGCGGACTTGGTTCAACTTGGAGGGGTAAACGTAGTGGGTAACAACTTTGGTGGGGGGAATGCTTTCGGTCCCGTCTCTGACGCTGCACGCCTGCAGTGGGCGCACTCGCTGCAGACATACTACAACGGCAATACAACGACACTGCACTGTTCTGCTAACCATACTGCTCTAGTGGGCAAGGAGCTTTAATGCCACGTACACCAACATCTCCGTTTCGAACTAACCGTCTGAATCAGATTCAGAACTTAAAGCAAGTAATAGGTGTTCTGCCATATTTCAACGATAATAGCGGCGTCCTTCACACTGCACTCCTATCTCACACTGTCAACGTGCGCGCTGCCTGCACCTCAACATGCGCCCGGCCCGCCCGGCCGTAGTATGTTAAGCAGCGCAAATTGAGCAAATGGCAACGAAACTTGGGGGTACACTGAGAAACTCAATTCCCAGGCAGCAGAGCATGCCAGTCTTCTAACAAGTGAGTTGGCGCGTGGATTCATTGAAATTACAGTAGCTGTTCTGTAACGCGTTTCAGCGATTCATAACTCAATTACCAGGCAACGGAGCATGCCAGTCTTCTAACGATTGAGTTTCCGCGTGGATTCCTAGAAGTCAGCTGTTCTGTAACGCATTTCAGTGATTCCTTTGTTTGTAGGTGTCTTGAGTAGATAATCATCCACCGGTGATAAACCAACAGGCCTTGTAGAGGACAGGTGATGGTTTTAATCTTCTTGGTTGCGTTGCGGTTGCCATTTTCCTCGGTGTGCCCTCGCTCTAATTACAAATGATTCTAATGTCACTGAATTTATACACTAAATAGTAGGCTATTCCACGAGTCTCGTGCGTCATGTTACGGTACTGTTTCTCGAACTACTGTTGTCAAAGTTCCTTCTGGAAGTCCCAGTTATCTGAGTAGGTCTTCAAACCCTGTGAGTCCTTGCCATGGCCCCTACTACATGGAAGATCATCTGTATCATCTTCGAATGTTGCTAGTTTACTGGAAAGTATATCTGCAATCTTGCATAATGTTGAATAACCAGCATTCCGATGAAGAACACTTTCTACTTTGGTATTAATCCTGTCACTTATTTCACCATGAGTTCGGTTTAGTTCATTCTCAATGCTCTTTACAGTGTCCAACGCATCACAGAGTTCAGTCCCTACAAATTCCAGGCGAGTTATTGCACCTGAAATTAAACAGAAGTTTGACTTTATGTATGCCAGATTTTGTGCTAGAGTGGTAGAGAATAAGTCCTTGACAGCTTTAATTGATGTTGACTCACTGCTGTCAAAGCCATTAAACATTTTCTCAATGGCTGTGTAATTTTCACAATAATATGCCACAGCATCCAACCATGTACCCCACCGTGTGACGACAGACTGTGGAGGCAGTGGCAGTAGAGGAGCTTCTTGTTTAAATTTCTGCACTCGAAGAGGGGCCTTGATGAATATTTTCTTTCCGTTTCAAACTAGCCTATCTACATCAGGAAAATGTCCTCAAACTTCTTCAGCCACT